TAAGTTGTATGTCAGAAAATCTTGATAAGAAACGATAGATGTATCGGTTCGGTTAAGTCATATAAATATTGATAAGATGTCTATCATTTTATTCTTATATATCCGTATTAATGCATACGGTAAAATTATTACCATAAATAATGATACATATTATATCGTGTATATACGATTGATTCAGACGGGCAATAATTATACATATAGAAAACGATTCATAACTATAAAATTTGTATAGTTATTTTCTTATTCGGACCTAAAACGATAGAAACCGATTCGATTCGATTGATGTTTTATCTGTCTTCTAAATATGCAACAATAGAACCGATAAGATACAATTAAAAACGATACAGATATAGCCGTTTTTAATCGTTTTCTATCGGATATGGTTACCAGGGATATCATGTTTCCATTTCCAATTTCAAAGTGTTCACTATCTTTGAGATGTGTTTCACTCAGGCCCAGTATATCTACTCCGCATCTTTGCATTTCCGATTCCACTGTCTCTCGCTTCCCTGGTTGTAGCAAGCCGCGGACATTCCAAGTGCCTATTTTTATGTGTTGATTTCGTCGTACATTGGGTTGTTTACCACCATATATTATATATATTATATATATATTATATATATTATACATTATATATTATATATCCCGTAGCTTTCGCATATTCGTTTATTCCAAATTTCTTGTGTATATTTCATATAATTAAATTGATATTAATTTAATTGTGTGATTGTATCGTTCTGGCTTTAGTTGAGACTGCGTTATATTCGAAAGTAACGGCGCGTTGTCTACCAGGGCATAAGAATTGTGCGTAAAAAGTCACTCAAGAATTAATATATTATTCGGACAAGCAAGATCCAGTCCTGATTGATTCCGGCGTTTTTTCACTTTGTTTGATTGTATAATCTTATCATATATGGTTAAATTCGTAAAAAAATAACCTTTTATTTGGTAATAAAAAATTTTTCAAATTTTGAAAGAAATGTTTAATGGTGGAAGTATTTTTAAATAAAAAAAATTAAAAAAATTTTTTTGTCGTTTCAAAGTACTTTTCAAGCCATTTAATTTCCATTTTAGAAAATTTGTATGTCTTTTATAATTTCGGAGATATCCGATCCGAAAGAGAAAAACAGATTTTTTCGAAGGGGTGTTCCACCCGTTAAACATGCGTATGGGCACGTATAAAAAAATACGTATCCTTTATTTTTGTCTAGAGAACAACATACTAAAAGCTCATTAAAATCGGAGGGGACACTTCCGTCCCTCTTATTGTTAGACAAGACTTATGTTAACAATAAGATGTTTTCCTTGAAACAGAGTAAGTTTTATTTAAAATATTTTTTCGAACAACAAATAGTCTGGAGATAATTTCGTGGAAAATGGGATTAAAATGGGATATCCTGTATATGGAGGGGTAAAAGTCATAGTGATGTAAGTCAAATTTTTTAAGATATTGACTCGTGTGCATAGATGCAATTTATATATTGTATAGATTGCATTTAATGCAATCTGCGTTTGATGAAATGTAAGACAAGTCTATAATATAGATATATACAATACATAAAACAAAAGTTAATTACAATAGACAATATGTAGAAAAAAAATTTATTGACTTTTATTGTTCCGTTTTAAAGATATTTAAATATAAATATATAAAATTTGACATTACAAATATATCCAAAACCTTATCCTGTAGATATTTTCTCTTAATTTGAGACATTTGCATATAAGACAGAGATTTAAAAAAATCGTTATAACTACGAAGTAAACATTTAAGTTTGTTCTGACAAAGTTTCATTTAAATTGACCGTACAGTTTGAGAGAAATTTATGTTCTTTGATAAAGAAAAGCAAGAATATTTGACAAATGGACGACGCGTGTATGGTGACGTTGGCAACGTTACATGTATGTCTGTGGTCCGATTCACGCTCACGTTAAAAGCATCGCTCATACAACATATTTAAGTAGCAATAAAATTTGTGAGGTGTAACCCTTTATGCAGTTTTACCTTGTATTGAATTGTTAATTAAATATTACATAATATTAATTAACCGCATTTAATTTTCAAATCCTACTTTTTCTTACTTGTTAATTGTTAGTTATTACTTGTTAATTTCAATATTAAAAGTCTTTAGTTAATTACCTATTTACTTGTTTTTATTTCACCAGGTTGGTTGAAGTTACGGTTGAAGTTACGGGCAGACTAAAGATCATAGAAATCTTAAGTAATTATTAATAAACTACGCGTGTCAAATATAAATTCTTGAACTAATACCAACAAGCGGCAGAAGAAGTAAAAAACAATATGGCAAATCGAATGAAAGCTCTATACAATCAGGTATGTGTAAAATATGCCTTTATTTTTGCATAAATTTAAATTATCCTTTTCACTACTAATAAAATTATTAGTAGAGTTTCATATGCAAGTATAGATTCTGTGTTTCTTATTATTTAGCGCATATACTTACTCACTTACAATTAGTGTACTCAAAATTTTTTCTAATAATGCATTTATTTTTAAAGGCATGTCTCCTCTTTCTAATGGAAAAGTGATACAAATCCAAAATTTCTTTTCTCTTTTTAAAATAGAATATAACACATGATTGAAATGCGTAATCTATACTTGTAACAGTCTACCTTTCTCGCACGGTCAATTATTTGCAAATTAACTTTTTTTCTGTTGAAATATTAACATAGTATCGATGTTATCATTTAACACATCCATATTATGTTAAATTAACACAAAAATGTGAGTGGACCGTTTTGGACATGTGATTTATGTTATATTTAACCAAATTTTCCCACTGTGTACACGCGGGAATTTCCTAAGCTAATTAAGAGACACGGTAATGTCTCGCACCAAGTGTACGCGTGGGCGACACACAAACAACGAGACCTGACTCTGTATCTTTATGCAAATCGTCGAGTTGAGAGACTCTTAAAGATTATCAAAACTCAATAACGGCTGACCGATCAAATTCTGAGTAGGCTTAATTGATAGATTGGATTTGATTTACACGAGAAATGTTTTTATTTTTTGTTCCCACACGTGTTCTATGAGCGGAAATATTGCGATGCAAAGTCTGAAATGTAAACATTCGCATTAAAATACGTCGTTCTTATTGTCACCATCGCCCTAAAAAATGTTATTTCTTTCACTTTTTCGACATTACGCAGTGCTAGCAAGCAAGGTTTCTCGCTAGCGCTGCATTGAAAAAAATTGTTGACAATATCACCAGCGTCTCTAATGACAATGTCTCGCCCTGGCTTCTCGGCAGCATGAGTGGTGGAAATACGTACACGGAGCACGAGCCCGTGTCCGTGTGCGCTAATTAAACACATAGACATAGAAATGTGGCCTGACACCTCACGAACACGGGTGTGCGTTAGTGCGTATCTTCACCACTCATGCTGTTGAGAAGCCACAACCTCATTCTGGCACCATTGTCTATATCCATGGGTGAGAGGCAATATTTCCGATAAAACACGCGCGCGTTATTATCGATCGAGGGTAAATCGGGTCGATATGTCAAATTGGGAAAAAGATTATTTTAGGTTAAACTTTTATATGCGATTCAGATCCGATACTTTTGCAGGCACATAGTACGTACTAAAAAAAGTTGAATAGCACTAGTGACAACTTGCGGAAACAACTAGTTCCTTATATATTTTTTTTATTATTCTGCTGGATTTTTGATTTTTAATCTGCGGAAGATTGGTTTCTCTGGACAGCATTGTACGCTTCGGGTTTTCAACTTTCCACGCGAAGCAAAGTCCACCCCAACCCTGCTTATGGAGACGGCGCGTGCCAGTCTTAGCCGCTAGGGGCGCTAGCAAAATTAGAGACACACCGAGCTGTCACCGAGTACCGAGCATATCGTTAACGAGAAAATCTGTGTACATAAACGTGAATATTTTGGAATTTTTTAACATGCCGGGAATGTGTTTGGCATATAGATGTAAAAATAAGGGAGGGCATCGGTTCCCAAGGGACAAGAATAACAAGATAATGAAAAATAAACGGTGGATCATCACTGCTATAAAACGCGAAGATTTATGTCCGAATACAAATTCGCGACTAAACATATGTTTCATTATATGTCTATTAATTTTATTGTAAACTTACTACTTTTAAAGCCGGTGGTAATATAATCCTCAGGTCTAAAGTGGTTTGTGCACAGCAAATTTGTATTCGGACATAAATCGCGTTTTAGCAGTGATCCACTGTTTTTTCATCATCTTGTCTCTCGGCAACCGATGCCCCCCCTTATTTTTACATCCATATGCCACACATATTCCCCCGGCATGTTGAAAAATTCTCCAAACCTCTCTACTCATTAAACGTAAACATTATGACAAGTCTCCATTTTTGGTGCTGCCCTCTGCGCTGAGCTTGTCATCTCGCCGTCTCCATTGGGCAAATTGTGGTCTATTACTGTACGGTTCGAGTTTTCAACTTTCCACGCAAAACAAGATCTACTCCACATTCTTCTCTGCTTACAAGGCGAAAAGAGGTCTATCATTGTATGGTTTCACAGGAGTTTGTAATTTTCCACGCGAGGCCAGGTCCATCCCACACTGTCTTGTTTTCAATGCAAAGCGGGGTCTATTGTGTGATTTTACATGGGTTTTTAACTTTCCATGAGAAGAGAGGTCAATCTTCCGCATATGCAGTCAAAAAATCTAAAATGTAGTGAAATAATAAAAATTTGATTATTTAAGGAACTAGTCGTTTCTGCAAGTTGTCACTGGTGCTATTTGATTTCTTTCAGTGCATACTATGTACCTGCAAAAATAGATCAAAATCGGATATGAGTGACATACAGAAGTCTTACTTTATTACATTCTTCTTATAAAAATCAACACCATTTATGTTGCAATACACAATTATTTTATATTTTTGTTTGGATTTTATTCTCCCAAAATCAAAGGAGTTACTACCGCTACCTTTGCTGACGATACCACCTTCTTGGCTGCACATAGAGAACCAACTCTGGTATCACTGAAAACTCAGGAAAGCCTCAACGCTATCCAAAAATGGCTAAAAACATGAAGAATAAAAGCGAACAAAACCAAATCCACTCACGTCACGTTCACCACATGTCATAAAACATGCCCTCCTGTCTTTCTGAATGGACAAAAACTTACTCAAGCTGAAGAAGTCAAATATTTGGGCATGCACTTAGATCGTAGATTAAACTGGAAAAAACATGTATTTACAAAACGCAAGCAGCTGAGCCTCCAACTCAGAAACCTGTACTAGATTATAGGTCGCAAATCACAATTATCAATAGACAGCAAATTGCTAATTTACAAATGCATCCTCAAACCCATATGGACTTATGGCATCCAACTGTGGAACGCAGCCTCTGATTCCAACTTGGAGATACTTTAAAAGTTCCAATCCAAGATGCTAAAAATTATAGTTAACACCGCGTGGTATGTCACAAATGAAACCCTGCACCGTGACCTGCACATCCCAACAGTCAAGGACGAGGTAAAAAGATCCAGTCCGAGCTACTTAAAACGTGTAGAAGCACATCCAAATAATCTAGCAATAGTATTAATGAAAACACCACGTAGACTAAAAAGAAAGATACCTCAGGATTTAATTAAGTAGTCCTTGTTCATTATAGGAGTTGTCAATGAGCACCTTCCTTGCAAGTTTTTCACTCACCCTTGTTTTATTACTGATACATGTATTGCTGAATGTCTTCTAACAAGACAGATTGTAATATAAGACAGTTAAATAAAAAAAAATTTATTCTGCGTAAACGATCGGAGCAGTATCGAAAACATTTATCAGAGTAAAAGAATCCCCTTTTTTGGTGGCGGTCAGAACGGTGCTAAAAATACTTGGAGGAAAAAGAAAATACCTTCTCCCGATAGCAATCAAATCAGTAAAGATGAAAAACACTCTTTTTTTCGAGTGGTCAGAGCCGTACTCGGATCAGAGCCGTATAGTCCAGTCAAAATACGGAAAAAAGGGGGGGTAACTAGAAAAAATTGCAACACAAGGTTTTATTACGTCATTGTGTTCAGAAAAATATACTGAACAATATATTCAAATTCCGCCATTTTCCGCTATCCCTAAGTATGTTTTTTATTAACAATTTATAAACAAATTCGTTTTTCTCCACAAATACGATAAATTTTCAAATTTTTGTAGAGATTAAAGTTGTAGAGCAGACAAATATCTACAAAAAATGTTCTTATGAATTTTTTGAAATATCTCATATTATTTGAGATATTTGCAACAAGAGCTACTAGGCTACGTGCGGAGCGGAGCGGAGAGTTCTAACAAGCACACGGCAGTCTCTACCGGTCGCTGCTAGTTTTCTAGGTTCTACAAGGAACTTGAGTTGGTTCTCGATACTAGTATATGCGTCTATGTATAAACACACACACACACACACATATATATATATATACATATATGGGACAATCCACGTCACTTTTACCCCCCCTTTGTCCAAAATTGGTATGGACGGATTAGTAGTGCGTTTCGACTGTGATTGAGACAAACGTGTTTTAATGTGCTCGGATTGAGCTCTTTGTTCAAAATTTGAACGAGATATTTGAAATGGTTCAACTCTCCTCTATAGTCAAGTCTCCCGGACTCCCCCTACTTTACAGTAAAAGAGGATATATTTGCTCTCACATTATTACAAGAAGTTAACTTAATTCAATACGCGTTAATTAGGATGCGCAGTTACTTTCAGAAGCAATCTGCCTGATCCTGTCGCTATTGACATACATATATATTCATTTCATTAAGGCGGAAGGGGGGGCTAGTAATAAAATTTTGATGACTAAAAATGGGGCCCCTAGTCAAGAATCCAAGGAGATCTATTAAAAAGAGGATCGGGACAAGTCGCCATTTTGTATTTTAGGAAGCTAAAAACGGTTTTTGCGGAATACCTCGTTTCCGTTTGATTTCTCGTAAAAAATGGTTATTATCAACCTTGTAGAGAAAAAAATTCTCTGCAACTTTTCTTGAAAACTTTTTTGTGTGCAGTGAATAGCTTCTGAGTTACAGCCGCATAAAGAGTGCAATTGTAAGAAAATTGTTGGAAATATGCTTTTCTATGGGAAAATGTCATTATTTTGAGTTCTTATAAATTGAACATATAACAATTACGATAGTTTTCAATTGTTTGCTTTATTAATAAATAATAAATAACATTTTTATTTTTTAATTAACTCATTACTTTGCGGTAGAGTTAATGATGTGTTTTTTTAAATGTTAAAGTATATCACTGCAATTTTATTCGTTTCGAGGTCAGGTTGTTTATCACTCAATTCTTCGTCGTTATTATCCTTATTTACTTCAATATCTTTTTC